CCTGGCTGAGCCCAAAGCCTGGCTGAGCCCAAGGCCTGGCTGAGCCCCAGCCCCGTGCCCTGTGCTGCTGCTGTCCCTGAGCCGTGTCCCTGTCGCAGCCTTCACCGTGGACCTGCTCATCTCCCCGGACGACAGGTTCCTGTACCTCAGCAACTGGATCCACGGGGACATCCGGCAGTACGAGCTCTCCAAGAACTGCAAGCCCCGGCTGGTGGGGCAGGTGAGGGGGGCACGGGGGGCTGGGGGGGTGGGGACATGCCAGGGACATGCCAGGGACACGCCAGGGACACGTGTGTGCCACTGCCCCCCTGCAGGTGTTCGTGGGGGGCAGCATCCTGCGAGGGGGCCCCGTGACCGTGTGTAGGGACGAGGAGCTCAAGTGCCAACCCGAGCCCCTGGTGATCAAGGTGAGTGCTGGAGACTTGGGAGGGGAGGCACCGCTCTGTCCTGAGCCTCATCTGCTCCTGATCTGCTCCTTCTGCTCCTGCTCCTGCTCTGCTCCTGCTCCTGCTCCTGCTCTGCTCCTGCTTCTGCTCCTGATCTGCTCCTTTTCTTCCTCATGTTCAGCTCCTTCTGCTCCTTCTCTTTCTCCTTCCCTGCTCCTTCTCCTTTTCTTCCTTCTGTTCAGCTCCTTCTCCTGCCCCTGCCGTGCCCCAGTCCCTCCCCAGCCCCAGTAACTCCCAGTTCCCCCCAGTGCAAGCGGATTTACGGCGGCCCCAGCAAGCTGCAGCTGAGCCTGGACGGGCGCCGGCTCTACGTCACCAACTCCTTCTACAGCACGTGGGACAAGCAGTTCTACCCCACCATGGTCAGGTGGGCAAACGGGGGGGCAAAAGGGGCTCCTGGGCATGGAGGGGGGGCTCTGCAGGGCCAGGGGGGCACAGGGGGGCACTGGGAGAGGGGCAGTGCTCCCCCGGGCTCTGGGGGCCGGGGCTGTGCCAGAGCATCTCCCGGGATCCCGCAGAGCTCGGGATGGAGCCGAGCACACCAGGATCTCCGGCCCGGGGCGGTGCCAGCCTGGCCTGGCACGTCCTGCCCGGGACATCTGCGGCCCGGGGCACATCCTGCCCGGCGCTGGGCTCATGTCCGGGGGGGATTGAGGGCCAGGAGCGGAGCTGAGCCTCGGCTCCTGGTCCCGGAGCCGTTCCCTGGAGCCTCTGGGTGCATGGAGCAGCCCCGGGGCGGGATGGGCCGTGCCCAGAGCTGTGCCCAGAGCTGTGCCCAGAGCTGTGCCCAGAGCCGTGCCCAGAGCTGTGCCCAGGGCCGTGCCCAGAGCTGTGCCCAGAGCTCTGCCCAGAGCTGTGCCCAGAGCTGTACCCAGAGCTGTGCCCAGAGCTGTGCCCAGAGCTCTGCCCAGAGCTGTGCCCAGAGCTGTACCCAGAGCTGCCCCTCGTGCCCCCGCAGGGAGGGCTCCGTGATGCTGCAGATCGACGTGGACACGGAGAAGGGAGGCCTGGCCGTCAACAAGAACTTCCTGGTGGATTTTGGCAAGGAGCCCAACGGGCCCTGCCTGGCCCACGACATTCGCTTCCCCGGCGGCGATGCCACCTCCGAGATCCTGCCCTAGGAGTGAGCCCGGCCCGGCTCCGCCCTTCCCTCCCTTCCCTCCCCCTGCAGTGCCCCTGCTGGGAAAGGGCGGCAGCTGATGGGCTTTGGGATCCCGGTGATGGGCTTTGGGATCCCAGTGATGGGCTTTGGGGTCCCGATGATGGGCTTTGGGATCCCGGTGATGGGCTTTGGGATCCCGGTGACGAGCTTTGGGATCCCAGTGATGGGCTTTGGGGTCCCAGTGATGGGCTTTGGGGTCCTGGGTGAGGGGCTTTGGGGTCCCCACTCCTCCCTCCAGTCCCGATTCCCCCTCCTGAGCTCAGGGAGCTCGAACTTCCCCCGGCCTTGTGCGGCCAAACCAGTGCAGACACACGATCCCAGTTCCCATTCCCGGCCAAACCAGTGCAGACACACGATCCCAGTTCCCATTCCCGGCTGGCCAGAGCGGGAGTGATCCTGGGGCAGGATCCAGGAATAATCCCGGGCAGACTCCAGGCTCCAGGAGTAATTCCAGGCAGGCTCCAGGCTCCATCCCCTCACTGGCTCCGTGCAGGGGGTGCAGCCCCAGCCCCGGGGCAGGTCCCACCAGTGCCACACTCCTGTCCCAGCCCTGCCCTGCTCTTCCCAGATCCCCGGGGGCCCCGGGAAGGGGCTCAGCTCCCCGGGAGGCTCCCGAGCTCCTGGGCACAAAGGGCAGTGCCCGGTTCCACCCAGTTCCCCCCTCCGGCCGGGCCCTTCCCAAGGGCTTTTCCCTCCTGGCTCCCATCCCAGTGGCTCCGTGTCCCAGCTGGAGGAGCTGCCAGTGCTGGGTTGGGAAGAGGGGCCCGTTTGCTGACACTGGTTTGCTCTTGTCCTGCTTTCAACGCCAATAAAACCCTTGGTTGCATCAGCTGGGCCTTCTCGTGTCTCCTTTCCTGTGGAGGGCAGGGAAAACAAGCCCCAGCAGGGGTCTGGGAGAAGATCAGCCTTGGGAAAACCCCTAAGACAGGACCCTGGTTGGGCAGGGACCCTCTTTGTCCTCCTGCAAGTTTCTGGTGGGAATTGCCTTTGCTTGGTTCTTTTTCTGGTGTGGATTCTCCCAGCCCGTCGTTTTTATGGGATTTCTCTCCATTTGATGCAATTTAACAGGTTTGGGAGCCAGCCCAGGGCAATCCCTTGTGTTTGGGAAGTGGTTGCCTCGCTCCTGGATGTCAGGATGTTGCTTCCAGCTTGACCAGTTCCCAGGGACAGTCCAGTTTCCCCAAATCCAGAGGGAAATGTGGGAGTTGTAGATCCTCCTCCTGCTCTCCAGGTGCTGCCGAGGATGTGGAATCCTTGTCAGGAGGACATGAAATCCTTGTCAGGTAGTTTGTGGCTCGGGGGGGGGGGGGGAAGGAAAAGCAGGACCTGAAATTCCAGGTGGAGGAAGAGGCAGTCCTTGGAGCAGTTCTGATGGAGAAGGTGCAGCCTGCCCTCCCCTGGCCACAGGCAGAGCAGGTGCCTTTTCCAAGGGCAGGATCACAGTTCCATCAGAATCCCCCCCCAAAAAAGATGTGAATTTGTCAGACAAATGACAGTGACCTCACAGCTGTGGCCTTTGAGACACAAAATGCCAAAATGCCAGAAAAACCAAAAAAAAATGCCCCTCCCCCTGAGCTGAAGGGTGATTTTATTGCTGATTTTTTATGGCATCGGTGCACGGACACAGGAATGAGATGGGAGTTCAGAAAGAGAAACCTGAATTTAGACCCAAGTTCTAGGTGCCCTGATTCTCCTGGTGATAAAGGGAAGGTTTGGGAAGCTCTGGGAAGGGGATAAAGCAGCCCCAGGAGGACGGTCACAGCCAGATGTCCGAGGTGCAGTCCCCCCCCGGGTACCGCATCTCGTGGGCCAGCGCCGGCCCGTCCGGCTCCTTCCCAAAATCCACCAGGAAGTTTGGATTCACCGCCAGCCCCCCCCTCTCGGTGTCCACGTCGATCTGCAGCATGACAGAGCCCTCCCTGCAAAAGGCACGAGCAAACAGGCGGTGGGAGAAGGGGCTGTGTGGTTAATTGCCTCATTAATTGGTTAATAATTGAGCCCAGGGCCCCTTACCGGAGCAGGTCGGGGTAGAACTGTTTGTCCCAGGCGCTGTACAGGGAGCTGGTCACGTACAACCTCTTCCCATCCAAGCTCAGCTGCAGCATCTGAGGCCCACCTGGAACCTTCTTGCCCTGAAATTTGGGGAGAACAAGGTGCTCAAGCCAAGCTGAATAAAGGAAATGTGGCCACAAGGAGAAAGGAAACAGCCCTGCTCGGAGAGATCCGAAATTCCCGAGGCAGGAATGTCAAATCCACGGCTCTGGGGAGGGAACAGTTTTTATTGGGAGTCTTTTTCCTTCTGAACAAGAGCCTTGGAGTCATTCCAGGTGAGTTCCACTTAATTCACACAATTAACCAGGTAAAAAGGTAAGGGTGAAGGATGTGGAGCTTCCCGGAGTTGTTTTCACGGAATCATGGAATGATTAAGGTTGGAAAAGCCCTCTGAGATCACCAAGTCCAGCTGTTCCCCCAACACCACCGAACCACGTGCCCAGGTGCCACATCCACACGTTTCCCAAACATTTCCAGGGGTGGTGGTTCCAGCACTGCCCAGCTTTGGTGGCCAACAGGTTTTAATCAAGACCAACTTCAGTTCTCCCACACCCTGAGACCTCCCTCAGTGGGAATAATGTCAGGTCAGTGGTTGAACTTTAGAGGGCTTTGCCAACCTTAAGGATTCCATGACTTTTTTTAAGCTGAGAAGGGAAGATTTAGGTTGGATATCAGGGAGAAATTCTTCCCTGTGAGGCTGGTGAGGCCCTGGCACGGACGTGCCCAGACGTGGCACCTGCCCGGGCCATCAAGGTGCAATTACCTTTAAATATTGTAATTACCTTTAAATATTGTAATTACCTTTAAATATTGGGCATCTTCCAATGGCTTAGGATCAGTTGGGAACACTGACCTGGATGACAAATGGCTCTGGCTGACACTGCAGCTCCTTGTCCTCCAGCACAGTCACAGGGCCCCCCCTGGCAATGCTGCCCCCCAGGAAGACCTGTGGGCAGGGGAGGGGGGAGAACAGGCAGAGAACAGGCAGAGAGCAGGCAGAGAACGGGGCTAAAGCAAACTGGGGTGTTTCTCCTCTTGGAAAAAGGAGGACACCCCTCCTGAGCTGACTCCCAGGGTGGGCAGGGGGGGTTTTTTTCCTCACCTGCCCCACGAGCCGGGGCCGCCGGCGGTCGGAGATGTCGTACTGCCGCACGTCCCCGTGCAGCCAGTTGCTGAAATACAGGAACCTGTCGTCCAGGGAGATCAGGATGTCGGTGATGAGACCTGCAGGAGGGAATTCCAGGGCTGAGTCAGTCAGACCAACACCAAAGCAGCCCCAGTCCTGCCCTCTGCCAAAGCTCTGCTCACAGAACCTCAAACTCATGAGAGCAGGAGGGTCACAACCCACCCTGGAAGCCCAGGGCCTGCTCCAAGGAGGTTCAGGCTCTACCAGCATTCCCAGGGTATATTCCTGGACACCCTCAGGCCCAAATTCCCAAGGATTCTTCTGGAGAAAGTGACCTCAAGCATTGGAGCAGCGTGGGAGCAGAGCACAACCTCAACCGGTCACCTCAGAACCCCTCCCACAAATTTGGTCTTTTTTTTGCCATTTAAGGACAAAATTAAGCCAAAAGCTGCTCTGGACCAGGGAACTGATGAGGAGAACACCCCATTTCTTTCCCAACATGGTCCTACTAACCAGGCATGTCTGGGAGGAGCCATCCTTGCACCTTCTTGCTGGGCACTTCGATCACCTTCTCTGCTGCCCAGTCCCCGTTCTGCAGGAGGGAACACGGAATTCTTATCTAAGGAGTCACTAAATCGTGGAATATCCTGAGTTGGAAGGGGCCCACGAGGATCCTCAAAGTCCAGCTCCTGATGGTTGCTTTGCTGAGCTCCAGAGGGCTCAGCTGGGCTTGGCAGAGGGAATGCAGAGGCTGTGGGAATGCAGAGGCTCCCCCAACCAAACCCCTTCCAGGATCCC